GCGGCCGCCGGGGCCGGGCCGTGCCCGGAGAGTCCCTGCCCGGCTCGGGGGGATCCCAGGAGGAAAACGGGATGGCGGAGGGAGCGGAGGCAGGTGAGGCCGCGGGGATGGGAGAGAATGGAGCCGGGAGGGAGGGATCTGGGATGGAGGGATAAGGGGTGCAAGGGGGAAGGATGGAGGGGTAGGGGATGCAGGGATAGGGGATGGAAGATGGAGAACAGAGGGTTGGAGAACGGAGGGATGGGAGGACAGAGGGGTCTGGGATGCAGGGATAGGGGATGGAGGGGTCTGGGATGCAGGGATGGGGATGGAGGGGTCTGGGATGCAGGGATAGGGGATGGAGGGGTCTGGGATGCAGGGATAGGGGATGGAGGGGTCGGGGATGCAGGGATGGGGATGGAGGGGTCTGGGATGCAGGGATAGGGGATGGAGGGGTCTGGGATGCAGGGATAGGGGATGGAGGGATAGGGAATGGGAGATGAAGCAGGAGGAATGGAGAACAGAGGGTTGGAGGACCGAGGGATCTGGGATGGAGACAGAGCAGAAGGGATGGAGGACAGAGGGGTCTGGGATGGAGGGGGGAAGGATGGAGGGGTCTGGGATGCAGAGATATGGGACAGAAGATGGAGAACGGAGGGTTGGAGAACCGAGGGATGGAGAGAGAGCAGCAGGGAAGGGGGGACAGAGGGGTCTGGGATGCAGGGATGGGGATGGAGGGGTCTGGGATGCAGGGATAGGGGATGGAGGGGTCTGGGATGCAGGGATGTGGGGTGGAAGGATGGAGAACGGAGGGTTGGAGGGATCTGGGATGGAGACAGAGCAGAAGGGATGGAGGGGTCTGGGGTATAGGGATGTGGGATGGAGAGGTCTGGGATGCAGGGATGTGGGATGGAGGGACAGAGCAGGAGGAATGGAGGGATCTGGGATGTGAGGAAATGGGATAGAGGATGGAGGGACTGAGGGATGTGGGATGGAGACAGAGGAGAAGGGATGGAGGGGTCTGGGATGCAGGGATGTGGGATGGAGGGACAGAGCAGGAGGAATGGAGGGATCTGGGATGTGAGGAAATGGGATAGAGGATGGAGGGACTGAGGGATGTGGGATGGAGACAGAGGAGAAGGGATGGAGGGGTCTGGGATGCAGGGATGTGGGATGGAGGGACAGAGCAGGAGGAATGGAGGGATCTGGGATGTGAGGAAATGGGATAGAGGATGGAGGGACTGAGGGATGTGGGATGGAGACAGAGGAGAAGGGATGGAGGGGTCTGGGATGCAGGGATGTGGGATGGAGGACGGAGGGATGGAGCAGGGAGGGAAGTGGGATGCAGGGATAGAGGGATCTGGGATGGAGGGACAGAGGGATCTGGGATGCAGGGAGATGGGATGGAGGATGGAGCAGGACGAATGGAGGGGGTGGGATGCAGGGATAGAGGGATCTGGGATAGAGGACAGAGGGAGAGAGGGATTGGGAATGTAGGAACACGGGATAGAGGATGGAGCAGGAGGGATGCGGGATGCAGGGATAGAGGGATCTGGGATGGAGGAAGGAGGGACTGAGGGATGTGGGATTGGGACAGAGCAGGAGGGATGGAGGACGGAGGGGTCTGGGATGAAGGGATTTGGGATGGAGGGATGAGGGATGTGGGATCCAGGGATGGAGGGATCTGGGATGGAGGGATGAGGGATACAGGGATGGAGGGATTTGGGACAGAGGAATCGGGGCAGCTCCCACCACCTGGGGGCTCCGGTCGGGAGGTGACTTTGGGGACACTCCCCCCTTCACCCCCCCCACACCAGGACCAGTTTGGGGCAGGGGGGGTGTCTACAGGCCCTTGGGGGGGGATTTGGAGCTGAGCATCCCCCTGTCCCCCCCCCACCAAAGGACCAGCGGGGGGGG